CTTCTATGTCGCAACCTCCGAGTCTTTCATTTCTTCCATGTCGCAACCTCCGAGTCTTTCATTTGTTCTAAGCAAACTCCGAGTCTTTCATTTGTTCTATGCAAACTCCTAGTCTTTCATTTGTTCTATGCAAACTCCTAGTCTTTCATTTGTTCTATGCAAACTCCGAGTCTTTCATTTGTTCTATGCAAACTCCTAGTCTTTCATTTGTTCTATGCAAACTCCTAGTCTTTCATTTGTTTTATGCAAACTCCGAGTCTTTCATTTGTTCTATGCAAAAATAGCGGCCGTGTTTAACAGTACACAAAATTTGTTTATTCCATTGAGCACATAAATATTGTATTCGTATTATAACCTACACCGGTATATACAATAACTTCCTATCAACTTAAATAAAATGTGACATTTTAGTAAAATCTTGGAGAAAATTAAAATACTTAAAATGATAACAAAATAACCGAATATATGACCATGGCAGTGCATATTTTTCTAGTGGTCGCTGGCATGTTTAAGTTCAATGGTGATGTAAAGCCTCTACTACTATAACGTTATATTCAGTTACCGTGGAAACTTTAATAAGTGCGTTAATGCACAAGATTAACTTGTTGTCATCCCGATTTCCAGTCTCGTTCCCTGTCCGCGTATACATATACCTGTGCAGTTTCGGTTTGTTATATCGCCATCAACGATATTTTTATTATACACAAAGACTTTTGCCGCAAGCGGTTCGCCTCTGTTTTCAAATGCCGAGATACAAGTATTTCTGATTGAAGGTTAACCCAATCTTTCAAATGAAGATGATGCACTGGTTATGACTTCAATATATAAAGGGAAAGAAGGGCCCTCTGTCACAGTAGAGTTTTCAGATTAAGGCAGAACATTCGTATTGCGGCTGTCACAGTGTAAGGTTGCTTATTCTTATTGAGAGGGCCATCCACAGAACTCACACTGGACAGGGGGTTCTTTCACTGCTAGTATGGGGTAGACAAGACAATAGTACTGGAAATTAGTTTCAATCACTGACTCAAGTTCCGACCAGGACCTCCTAAACGATGACTGATTATGGGCAAGTGTTGGATGACATCACCCAGCCGCTCTCTACTAGAAACCAGCTATCAAGTCGATATCTAAGCACAGTGAAACAAATTCATGACACATGTATCATTTGTCTCACAATATCGCAGCAGCTACACACAGGATACACAGTAGAATTACTGTCCTCAGTCTGTCCAATGTATAGGCATAAATGGCCCAGATTCAGTGACACCACCTGGGTTTTCACTTGAGCCAATCAGAATGTGATCTTGCTAGCACGTAGGCAACTCAGTAGATCATAAACATCTTTTGTTATTCACATCTGGTAGATTCCATCTGTCCTTCCAGAGTTGAAAACAAGTATGACCTGTCAATCACCTTTATGACAGTTATCACACGGCAATGCACACTTCTATTTTGCAGGCTTTGAGGTAATATGACAAAAACATAGAATAGAGGATGCTGACAGCAGCACGCGCTTGAATTTCACACTATTTATTTTACACGCGTTTTACACGTTTCGTACATCGAACACCACGCAACACGGTTACTGTGTTACTTTAACTTTTCGGATATGGGAGCGCCTAAATTAAAAACGGCCGACAGGTGAACAAAATCTCGTGTGTGTAAGTAACGGTGACGTCGTTTCGTATTCTCAAGTGTCTTTCAATATTATAGCCACGATGATTGAAGTTTTTTTTTTTTAGAAAAACAAAAAAAATCAAATAGGACGACTAAGTGAAGTAGCACTATTTTCATATACAAATTAGCCATTATCTATTTAATTTTTTTTTCAAAAATGTATTCCCTTTATTTTATTTTTTGTCTGACCACAATCGAGCTTTCACAATTAAAAATCAATATTACTAAAATTAAAAGGTTTTAAATGGAAAATGAATAATTGAAAGAGAAAAAAAGAAATTGAGGAAAAGCCCCAAAGGCATTCATGTAGTAGGAAGATCACCGACTGTGTTAAAGTAAGAAGACAAAGCTCAATATTTGGGTAAACTCGTTTATTAAAACTAGCACAAAGATTACAAAGGTTACAAAACACACGCGTAGCTAAACTACAATGTACAAAAAAGTATTATCCAATAACTTTCTGGCTTGGAGAAGACCGGATGTTACGTCACGGACAATTGTTGTATGTTGTGCTTGGAGAGAATTATGATACCACTACAGAGCAACACTGCTATGTTTATATAATGAACACATTCAATAAAACACTAAAAAAAACTAAACATAGTTACAGATTCCACTGCAAATAGATTAAAAACGTACATACATATTCATAATATTATACAATCTAAGCTATGACATTATATCAAGGTAAATGCACCTAGACGCTTAATTATAAATAAACACAAAATAAATGGTGTGTCAAAGAATTGCAATGAATAATTTTCTGAAACTTATTCTAAATCGACAAACAGCCATTATTCAACTGAGAGAAATATAGCAAATTGATATTAGTAAATGAGTAAGTGTCACTGAGATATCAACTGTATCACGTGGGAAATCAACTCATTTTCTGGATCTGAGTTCAGGTTCACCCATTCTGGGATACGTGGGTGTGTTCTTGGCGACCAGCATTGCTTTTATTGCTGCTTTCTTTGTATTGATCATTTCGTCGTTAATAATGGAGCCAGTAACCCAGTGGGCTTTCCTGTTTATAGCTTTAATCTTATAATCTAGGGACAAGTTGTTAAATCCCTCCATGCTCGTCATCATTCGGTTTGCAGGGGTGACTTCTCTACCAACGAGGGCGTCCTGCTTGCCGAAGGCAGATTTATTCTGAGTTGTGTTCACGCACACAAGTTCGTCACTTCCATCAAGACAATCTGATACATCATCGCACACGTATTCATTAGGAAGACAGCCTTCTACCATATATGGTAACTGACACTTGTGTTCAAAGCATTCATCATATTCACAGAACATTGGTTCGTCAGATTGGTCTAAGCAGTCGATGTAATTGTCGCAAATCCAGGTGAATGGAATGCATTTATCGTCACATACGTGAAAACACTCATCCTGACATCCACGACGAATCCGATGAGGACGATTCTGAAGACGATGAGAAATCATAGGAGCAGTATGCTTCATCGCTGCCATCCCCTGTACAGTCGTCGTAGCCGTCACAGATGAAGTCGTCGGGAATACACCCTTGTGGCGCAAATATAACATTACATTGATAACCAACACATGGTGCGTATGTACAGTTAGCTTCGTCAGACATGTCTTCACAGTCATACCAGTTGTCACATATCCAGCCTTCGGGTATGCAGGTATCGTTACACATCATCGCACACGGACAGGTATCAGGTTCGTCTAAGCCACCATAACAATCGGACCAGCCATCGCATACCCACTCATCAGGTATACACTTTTCTCCTTCGAAAATGTCTTCATATGTACAAGGACACACCTACAAATAATGAGAAATAAAACAATGGCAAATGCATTGTAAAATAAACAATATCCTGAACTGTTCGAGTTACGGGCATCGAGTTACGAAAACATCGAGTTTCAAAAATGACCAAGCCTATATTTTCGAAACTACACCCAATTTTGCAAAACCACGCCCAAATACATTAGTAACTCGATGTTTTCAAATAACAGTGAACCGAACTTCGAGTCATGGGCAACATAAATTTGTTGTGTTGCCTGTTATATTGCCTGTATATATATATATATATATATATATATATATATATATATATGGGCAATGACTAAAGTATAAGATGTATCACAAAATTTGACGAAACAAAATGACAAAAGCACTCTCCGTGGTCCTTTAGTTTGACAATATTTTGGGGTTCATTTGCTTGCTCTCACATTTTTGAAAGCGTAAATATAATTCGTAACACTTACCGGAAAATTGGGAGGAGTTGGTGGCGCGTCTTTTCTCTGATCCATCTCGTTCGGCTGTGTGCCGAAATCCGCGCCCTTAATATCGCCTGTTTTTGCTTCAACGCTGGCTAGCAATTCGGGAAGGGGTGTTGCCCGAGTTATTAACGGAATCGTCTTCGTTGGTGACGCGTCTTTTCTCTGATCCATCTCTTTCGGCTGTTTGGCGAAATCCGTGCGCTTAATAGCGCCTGTTCTCGCTTCAACGCTTACTGGCAACTCGGGGTCAGTTGTTGCATGAGTTATGGGCAGAATCGTCGTCGTTGATGGCGCGTCTTGTCTCTGATACACTCCTTTCAGTTGCTTGATGAAATCCTCGCGCTTAATAGCGCATGTTGCTGCTACGATCGCAATTAGGAGACAACCAGAAAATATATGACGAGCCATGGTCACGTAAGAACTCAAAGCTCAATGGCAGGTACTTGGGTTATGATTATGAGAACTGTCAGAGACACTTTTATACGGTATTTTATAAACATAAATACAAATTGGAACCCGTATATGTTTCTATAATGACGGCACCCGCGAATAATGATCAACTGGACGAGTATAGTCCCTCTTATACAGGTTGGCGCTGATTGAATTTCAAAGACCCTATCGCTGCCTGGGACGTCACAGCGGTGAAAGTCAGGCTTTCCTTTACGTACTTTGTGTACGCCGCGATCGACCGCATAACGTACCAAGTAGTGTGTCTGGTAAGGTGGTCGACTACCATCGCAACATGTGATCGGATTTCCCAGAATTTTGCAATATGGTTTTACACTGTTTTCCCCAAAACCCAGATAAGTGAATGTATGGTCAAAAAACTATCATGGTAAAAAGTTCTCACCGTATCTAAAAATTTCGCCTGGTTACATATGGTGAAAATACCATACGTAGATATAATAATAATAATATAAATAATAATAATATTAATAAGGATATTTTGGTTGTCAAGAGTTTGCCAGAAATTCGCCAGATAAATAATATTTTTTTATGACATGGATTTCTCCCTAAAATAATTTGTACTATAAAAACACACGAAAAATAACACTTTTGAAACAACTTTAAAAGATGTGATACAATGACTTCTATTTGTTAATGATACCGGCCATCTTCCGTAAGAGACGTCACAAACTATTAGGGATTGACCAATAGAAACTCAGTTTGAGAGAAAAGATGGTAGAAAAACTGCGCAAAATATTTCGAGTCAGATTTTTGTTACGATTATGTTGCTTTTATTGTTTTGTTTTTCGTATCAAATTGGACTTTTATAGTTTTTGTTTTAACATTCCGTGTTTTAACAAGTAATTTATGAGTTGTTAAACCAGTTAGATTACCGGAAAACGGGATCGAGTGACGCGAGTATTTTTTTTTTCGCGATCACTTTTATTTGTTTACGAAAAGTTTACTATTTTATATTTTAGCCATGTTTATATATATATACATAATGGAATCACACTTAGTTTATAAGGACTTCAGCTTCAGTCACAACCAAGTCAGCTCAGTAACTACACACATGGAGCTTCAAACAGTCTTTTAAAGAACGAAATCAGCGTTTCACCCGACTTGATGAAAAATGACATTAAATTATTGTCGTAACTCCGATTTAGTAGTCACAAACTCAAAATATAACTATTTCGACACAGAAGACCAAACTCTCCAATTGAAGATAAGCGACTCTGCAAAGAATGCAACTTTCAAGAGGATGAAATCCACTTTCTAAACTCTCGTGGCCATTTACGCATTTTTCGCAGCAGTGAATGACTTGTCTGTTTGTTCATTGTATATTAATGCAGGATATTAGCTACGTTCACACATAGATCCTCTGAAAGCGGTTATATGGTTCACCTCGGACAACTAATACAATTAGTTGTTAGAGGGTTCAGGTTACAGGATATTAGCTACGTTCACACATAGACCCTCTGAATGCGGTTATATGGTTCACCTCGGACAACTAATACAATTAGTTGTTAGAGGGTTCAGGTTACAGGATATTAGCTACGTTCACACATAGACTCTCTGAAT